TGCATTTAGACCAGTGATGTTCAAAGTGATTCTTGATACAGGTGGCTTAATTAATACCATAAGGCTGACTTCCCCCAGCTGACAATCAGTGGGAAAGAGCTTTTATAGGTGGAGGGAAGGGGCTACATGCAGAAATAGCACAGTCATCTCTGACAGTCACCTTGAAATTGGCCATGCGGTGGACTGATCAGTGTCATCTTGATTGTTTGAAGTACAGTTAGTCTTCAGTTCCAGGGTCGGTTTGTTCCCATTTCTTTGAGGCCAATTCTCAGAATTATGGCAGCTTATGTCATGGCTACAGTCTGATTCATCATGTAGCTAACTTCTTCCACCTGGTGGGGGTTTCAGTATCTACAAGACAGCTCAAAGGATATGGCTCAGAATATTATCTACAGCCCTTGAGGAGAAACTAAAGGTCCTTGACTTTGATGACTAAACTATTATTATTTGGTCTTGTTTGACTGCTTTCCTTTACTTCTGTATTTTTTTCACTTCTCTGACTAAACTTATTCTTTGGCTAAAGTTTTTCTACAGACAAAAGGCAGGCTGAGGAAATGGGGGAAGGACCTAGGGCCCTGCTGCATTTCAAGGCTATGGTAGCCAATAGTGACTATTGTTGCTTCAATAGGAAGGTACTCTCCTTGGAAGACACAGACTTCTATAATGCCAGCACAGGACATCCTTCTGTGGACACACTTAAAAAACACAGGCATCGTTTGTTCTGTGGCTTTAAATGCAACTCTCCTTTTGTTTATTTTATTTTTAGTGCTTTCAAGGCTAACCACGGACTCCTGTTGATTGATGCATTCTTTATTTTAGATATGCTATTGTGTTCAATCAATGGCAGTCAAGTCCGGCAGGTGAGGGAGCCATTCTGTCTCTTTCTTAAGTGAAATTGCCCAACACTGTTTAGCTCCATTATGTGTAGGCTTAAAAATTTAACTTTACTTCTGAGTTCATGGAATGCATTAGCTTTGAAGACAAAGGGGGTATTAGAAGGGCACTTGGCTGTAGAGAGCAAAAGAGGCACTCAGTCTATCAAAGTGATTCTCACCCTAGGCTGAATAGCAGGATCCTTGCAAAATTAAAGAACATATTCTTGCCTGGCTCCAACCTCAGACTTACTGATAAAGATGTGGGCACTTTACATTTTGATAAGTGAGACTAGATTACTCTCCAAAGATATTCTTTGAATTCACACTTCTAATGATAGCAGGTAAGTATACCTCCTCCCCTATCTTCTCCTCAGCATTTACTGCTAAACCTTTCACCTAGGTTTTACTCTTGGGCAACAGCTTTGGTAAAATATACGATAGGTAAAATATACATAAATATATAATAGTTATGAATACATATGAATACCATATAAACATGCTGCCCCTATTCTCATGTATGATGAAGAGAGAAGCATATTATACATTTATTCTTCTGCAGAGAAATGCTTCTGTAAGTAATGGGTGGTTAAGTGAAATGATCCTGTGTTGATTTGCAGTTTATATTAACTGAACAGTCCTCGTATTAGAGCAGAGATCAACTGTGCTGTTTATATGTAATTTACTCCAAATGAAGTAGAAAGGGATAGATTTAAGATGAGTTCAGGACATGATGTGTGTTTAGCTTTGGGATGAAATCAATATGTCACTTGATCTCTGTGACCCTCAGTATATTAATGTATAGCGATTTATTATAAATGAATGACAAAAAGATTAAACAAAATACATGTGAAAGCATTTTGGGAAATGAAAAGCACATTTTCAATCAGAGATGGTGGGCCTTTACTGAGGAGACTTGATGTCCCATATTATAGCTTAAATTATAGTCCTTGAGTATATCTAGCATTATTTTTTGATAAAATTTGAAGGATCAATATACAAGCAACCATTAGAAAAATCATTCTTTTAGGGCCACTGAACTCACTCTTTTGTACATAGTAGGCCTTCAGAAAACTAATGCTTGTTAAATGTATTTTGCAAATAGTGTTCTCATTTAGAAATCAGACTTACTGCTTCCCTTAATCTAACCAGTGTATTGCTCAGTCAACGGCTGTCCAAATTACTATCCCCTGAGTTGGAGCTCTTCTTTCCCACATCAGAACTCTCCAAATGCTTTAATTCTACACGTCTTCATTAAATTAACTTCATTTATGTGCATGCCATCACCCCTGACCTACATCCCCATCTGATTTGTAGTTGTGCCTCTCTCCTGCTCAACACACAGTAGGAACTTTATTATATTTAACTCCTATTGCTTCTTTTCTAATAACATGTACATTATTTGTAACTTGGTTCCATTCTGGGAATGTTGCTGGGCAAAGTTAAATTGTACATCTTCCTGCTTACAAACTCTATTAAAAACACTAACAGCAATGATGACAAAAAAGACTGAAAAGTTACATCTAAATCTATCAGTTATAAGTTGAAAGAATTTGATAATGAAAAAAGCCTTATGATCTTGAGTCACCACATTTTCCTTCAGGTTTTAACTTTGGAAAAGATCAATAACAGTGGTGGTAGATTGAGTCCTGGTGGCCCAGGTGAAGAGCCCCCAGTAGGAATTAGGGGCCCAGGTTTGTGTCCCAGCCCAGCTTATGATTGCAGTGTGAATTTAAGCAAGTCACTTTGCCATCTGAAATTGTCCTTTCGTCTTTAAAGTGAAGAGATTAGACTAGGATTCATATTCACAACTATTTGTGAGTCAGAGACCCCTTTGAGATTCTGCTGAAAACTATGGACCTTCTTCACTGACGAGCCACAGAAACAAGTATAAATAGAATTCCAAGAGGGTCCGAGGCTCTCAAAATACATCCACAAATTCCCCAGAAGACTTTAGAATGATTTCAAACTTCTAAAGTATGTGGTTGAAAAAAAAAGAATCCATTTACATTTGCTACGTCCGATGTGAATTGTTTTAAAATGTGGATTTGGGCCACTTAAGTCATTTAAAGTTAGAATTACTTTTTTGTAACTTATAGTACTCAGAGTAAAGCAAAATTTTCAGTAGGAAAGAAGATCTCCTTTGTATATGAATGCATCTCAGGGTTGGTGAGCTTGTGAGCCTGCCCTGCTACTCAATCCAGGGTTCCTTCTTGCCTGAGATGGAAATTTAGCTTTGACTTGGACACACACAGTGATGGGGAGCTCACTCACATGTTTATTGCTAGGCAAACGTAAAGAGTTTAGAAATTTTCTTCTTTATATTGAGCCATACAAATGTCCCTGACTTAACAATGGTTTAAGATTTTTTGCCTTTACGATGGTGCAAAAGTAATAGGCATTCAGAAGAAACCGTATTTCAAATTTTGAATTTTGATCTTTTCCTGGGCTAGTGACATGCAGTAGGATATGGTCTCGTGATGCCAGGCGGGGCAGTGAGCCCAGCTCCCAGGTAGCCACAGGGTAATGAGTGTACACAACAAATACAGTATACTTACAACCATTCTGTACCCATACTACCATTCTGTTTTTCACTTTCAGTATGGTATCCAATAAATCACATGAGATATGCCACACTTTATTATAAAATACGCTTTGTGTTAGATGATTTTGCCCAACCACAGGCTAATATCAGTGTTCTGAGCACGTTTAAGGTAGGCTAGGCTAAGCTATGATGTCCGGTAGGGTAGGTGTATTAAATGCATTTTCCACTTATGATATCTTCAATGGGTTTGTTGGAATGTAACCCCATTGTAAACCTAGGAAGATCTGTACTCTGCCCTCACCACATGAATGTCAGCTATTGGCACTATTGCTGCTCTCAGTCGCCACTTAGATAAATTTTATTTCTTTTTCCAGGCTTTTAGGAATTCAATGGCAGCCTCTTTTGTCCTCTCTTAATTTTGCTAAACAGTGCAGTTTCACATCCAATTCTTCTGGAAGAGATTTTATAAAACTGCTTTTAATCTCAATTACTTCCTTCAATGGAACTCTTGAAATGCAGAATCCAGAATTGGGCAGCATAATCCAGAAAAGTCTGAACAACACATGGTTAGAGAGAAGTTTCCTCTCTTAAACTGCTGACTCTCCTGTTAGAAATGCCACCCACACTGCCAAGAGCTCTGTTCCTACAAACAGGTGACTCTGTTGGGTCATGTTGAAATTGTGGTCACCTGAATCCCTAACTATACTCAATCTAGGTTGTCCTCATTCTCTATCTTTTAGAACCAAAATAATCTTCCTAAAAACAAAACTCCCTTTGACCTCTACCTTAATTGCTTAGGCCATCTTTCCAGCTCTTTGGAATACTAGTTTTTCACTCATCATGTCATCTTTTCTTCCAAGTTTCATGTCATCTACAAATGTGATAAACCTGCCTTTTTCCCCTCTGAATTAATTGATAAACATATTGATGTGTGGTTTGCCAAATGTAAGCCTCCCTTTAGGGATTAATTATTCATAATTCTTCACTCACTCACTTTACAACTTCATCCAACTCACATTTAACCTCCTGATCTACAGAATGGAGAAGAGCACGAGTATAACGTTCTGTGCAGGGGCAACATTTCTTTCTTTTCCTTTCCTTCTTTTACTCAGTCTACTTTCTTTTCCTCAAACTCTATTTTCTTCACTCCTTCATGTATTCATACCGCATATCCTTGTCTTATATATGGCTCCTTTTCTTGTATGTTCATTTTGTTACGGAGAAAAGAGCCTCTGTGCATTTTGGGGATCCCTCTGCCTTCTGCCCGAGTGCAGGGCTGCCTGTGTCTTTCTTGCTCCAGGAGGCCCTTTGCCACATGCTGGGAATCAGTTCACGTGCAGGTGAGGTGTTTTCCTGCGTGTTCGTTAGCATTTGGCAGAAGAGGAGAATCTGAGAATTTCACCAACACCTCCAGAGCAAGTTACTTTCCTCCACCTCCAGAATTACTCAAATATTGAATGAGGCTTCAAAGAAAATTTAAATACAAGGCATATGTGTGTTTGGGGATAGGAGGAGGGGCGTGGGGAGAAAAATTATTAGACAGTTCTCACAGACTTCACACATTAATCTCAGCATTTATTGCATCTATAACCAAACAAACATTGCTGAAAGGAAAAAGGAAAAATTCAAAACACAAATTAATCAACCATCCGTTATCCAATGGAAAGATGACGTTAGTGTAAACTGCTTTGGGAACCAAGGAATCTGTGGTCCTGTAGAGAGGTTCGGCAGAACAGCTCTGTGACGTCACCTACTCCTGCCTCATCAAAATCTTTCACCTGGCGATAGTTAATGCCACACTCAAATAAGACCGAGAAAAGCCCGTTCCAAGGTTTGCTCAAGTGAGTGATTTTACTTTAAAGAAGGCTTTCTCGTATAACTTTGTGGCCGTTATCATTATAAAATAAATAAGTGGGTAGACCTATAGTCAAGTATGGGAAGTGGATGATTAATGGTTTAATAAGTTGGACATTTGGTTACCATTTTTTTAATGTTTGACTCCCTCATATAGACAAATCAATGTTGGCATTAAGTTAAACCTAATTTAAGGAAAATTGTCTGAACACAACTGCATTACTCTGTAGTTACTTTGAGGATAAAAGGGATGAGCCCTGGAGGCAGTAGAACCTTTGCAAATCCTGGGTGGTGCAGACAATTTTAGCTCAGGAAACAGTGGCAGGCAGCTGAATGATTACTATGCTTTAATACTTCAGAGGGAATGCCAAGATGGTTTGAACCAGATTAGTAGGTACTGTAAACCTACAATAAATCCTAGAGATTGATAGGTGAGTCTAGGTTAGCATCCAAAAAGCTAAAGGTGAAAATGAGTTGGGGTCTCCTGACAATGGAACTTTATGCTTCATTCACTCAGTCAGTCGGTCAGTCAGTCAGTCAGTGAGTCAGTGAGTCAGTCAGTCTATATTGAGGGACTATGATGTGGCAGAACTTCTTTTAGAACCACACTATCCTTGTAAAGTTGAACAAATCATTTATCTTCTTGAAGTCTAGATTTCACCATCCAGGTATTTATCTCGTGGAGTTGTGAGGTTTAGTGACCCAGGTATGTAAGACTCCAGCAGAGTGACTGATTGGATGCTCATTGAACTCCTTTTCCTTCTTAGCATTTAGACCTCTTTTTCTCCTGTGTAATCTATAACATGATGAAATAAGTTCCATTTGTTAACAACAAATTTCTCTCTATGGTGATTGTGAGTGATCTGTGTTTGCAGATGAAATTACAGTATTTAAATAATATTACAACTTATCAAATATTTTTGCAAGATAATCAACCAAGTCCAGGGGTGTCATTCCTTGCCAAATGGCACTCTGAGGTTGCTGACTGCAATACATGCAAATCCACTCTTTTTTTTTCCTTTTTTTAGTTTCTTTGTTTCATAGTAAACATGAGCAGTGACTTCCTTTCATTTATCAATTCTAACTGCAATGTTTTTCAGTAATATTTAGAAAAATCTCATAAACCAATTTACTAAAATATAAAAATCTATAAACTTTTCCATGTTACGCATCACTATATGCAGAGTGTCAGCTAGTATGATGTTATAACAGAATAGACCCAAGTGAAATGAAAGATAATTTTGTAATGATTGTAGTAGTCGCCTTATGATTTATACTCCAAATTTGAGTTAATTTTGAAAAAAATCTGAATATACATTATTGTGGAACTGCCAAAGACATATACCAAAGTGTCACCTCATTAATTCCATCAATCATTTATGCAATCAATATTAATGAGCACCTACTGTTTGCCAGGCTCTGTGCCTGGGACCCCAAAGTGAAACCCCATAATCCTGACATCAGCAAGTTTGTTCTAATGAGAAAAATATGTAAACAAATACTGTTCTATAAAGTAATTGATACAAGAGAAAGTGATCCAAGAGCAGGGGGAAATATGAGAAAGACCCAGCTAGGTCTACTTGGGGAACTGGGGGAGCCTTCACAGAGGAGGCAAGCTGCTGTCAGGATGAGTGGGAGGTTATCAGGTGGGTGAGTAGGAAGAAGCTATTCGGCAGAGAGAATAGAATGAGAAAGACATGGAGGCTTGAGGGAACCTGGAGTGACCTGTAATGTGGAAGAGCAGGTTAGTATTGTTAAAGCATAAATTACTGTGAAAGGGGGAACCAGGAAAGGCTGGTGGAAATGAGGCCAGATAGGTAGGGAGAGGCCAGGTCACACAGCCTATATATCAGGCAAAGGTGTGCCAATGGTTTTCCTCTGTGTAGGTTTTGGGGGAAGTGATTGAAGAATTTTTAATACAAAAGTCTCAGAATCAAATCTGTATGTTTTGATTCCTAAAGAAGACTAACAGTATTCTGATTCTTTTGTTGTTTGAAAGTTACAGAAATGGCACACACACATCTCCTCGCTCCTGAGGAGGGGCAGTAAGAGCCTGTGAGCAGATTTTTAGTTAACAGGTTTTTAATAGGCAGTGATGCAATTCTTAATGGAGAAAATTTAATTACTATAAAAGACATTCTGTTTCGAATGGAAATTGGGCTGGCTGTGTTTTTATTCCTCGGTGAATTAAAAGGTTTATATAAGATTAGATTGTTGAGATCCTTGGAGAAAACACATATACACCAGTGAAAACGTTCCACTCATTTTCTTTACCTCTTGCAGCAAAGCAGTGAATCTGCCAGAAATAAATTGAGCATAATTTTTATAATTTCAGGGGTTAAGCATATGAAAGGCCAGAATGAATCAGCATTCCCCGAAGAAGAAGAAGGCGTGAACGAGAGAGAAGAGCAGTGGGACCATTAATAACGGGTCTGCAGCAAGAAGTCTTCTTGGGAATAACTGAACTATTAACTTTTCTGAATATCCCATGGAACACCACTGCTTGACTTCTATCTCTGCTCTCCACACTCACAAAGTAGTAATACACCTCCTGGGCAGCGCCCCTTGATGGAACTTTAGAACTACCTACAGATCGTTCCATATTACTTACAATTAAAAAATAAGTATTTATTTTACAACAGTGATTTTCTTTTTAACAACATAGAAATTTGCAAACATGTGAGTGTTCTAACTTTAATACTGCCCAGCTTAATCCCTGATGCCCTACTGATAAGACTTGCCTTCTAATGTCAAATGTAAATAGCATCACTTTAAAAGTAAAAAATAAATATTAAATACATTTAGACATGAGTGTGTGTCTGGGTTTAACTTACAGAGGAATGTTTAATGAAACTTTTAAGATCTGCATTTATCCTGTTGCTGTATACGGAATGGTACATGGTATTTATTTCCGAATGATGGAGAAATGCCAGATTTCTTGATTCAAAAGATCAAAATGTATTACTCTTTAGATATTAAACATCTTTTTCCCTCCAACAACACGTTAATGATTAAAGAACCACAGATTTCTCTTCATTTTTTAAGCTGTAAGAGGTGTATTTTCCATCATTTCCACTAGTTATTAAGAAAGAAAAATTATAAATCTAAAATAAAATATGCCAAATTTCCCCTGTCACTTATTTTTGGCTATCACTGGAAATATGGGGTGTTTCCTATTGCATTTTAATGAATCATTAGATTTTATAAATCTCCTATTATCATAAGATAAGAAATTTCATTAATTCATGAATTCGTTAATTCAACAACTATTTTTTATGGGTTCATCTCTAGGAAGGCACTTTGCTGGGTGTTATGAAAATAAAGGAAAGATAATTTCTCCCTTACAGAACTGGCAGAGAAGATAAGCATCAGTACAAAGCAAGGTTTTCCAAGACCATATGTATTTACTGAATATGGCTTTTGATAATTCAAAGTTCTGGCATCCTGAACAATTATTTATTGCATTTCAATGTAAAGTATCTACACCACATAATTTAGTAGAGGTGGAGGGATGCCCAATTTGCTTCCCACATTAACGATATTAGTAAAGTTCAAACGTTTCATGGATTAAAAAACTAAAGATGAAAAGATTTCTCAAAAGTCAATAAAGAGGTAAATTAAGATAGGAAGAAAAAAATCAAATGCAAAATCCACTGTGGGATCGTAAAATCAGGACTCAAAGAAGTAAAAGTACTGTTTTTAATTTTGACTGTGAGTTTTATAATATAGAGATTAAAAGAAATGCGTGAATCCATAAGCCAATACAATAGAGATAATGATAATTTTCCTTAGTATATTTTCCCCAAGAAAATAAACGCAAAACTCATTGATAAGTAGTATCTCAAGTATTTATGAGTACTTGTTCCAAGTTTCCTTCTTTTTTCCTTTCTGCCTTCCTTCTTTGCTTCTTTCCTTCCTCTCATCCTCCCTGCCTTCCTTTCTTTTCTTCCTCCCTTGCCCTGGCCTTATTTGTTTTGTTTTGTTTTTGTTAAACCAGTTTCACCAAAAATTTCTGGAGTTTCTAGACCACCTGCTGTGACTGTTTATTTGATTTTCAAAGTCTCTCCCTACTTAAAATCTGATTAAGACACATATTTGTTTTAAGTGATTTTGAATTATTTGTGTTTGTAAAACATCCCGGATACCCCTTGAGATTATTTGAGATACCCTGAGGCCCTAAAAAATAAAATTGCCCTTCCCTTCCCATGAACAGACATTTTTATAAATGTTTCTTCAAAAGGATTCAGACAAACAAAAGAAAAGCTTTTGCTTACTTTGTAACAGCAAAAAACACATGGGGAAATAAACACAATGGCTTCTGGATTCTTCCATCGTGTTCTCCATTCTTAAAAATGAAAAGAGATGAAAATTAAAAGAATAAGTTTTCCTTCAGAAGTGTTGGTTTCTTTTATTCTGTTCTCCACTCTGAAAACACAGAGATCACAATTAAAAGCATAAGTTCTCCTTTGGAAAAGTGTTGACTTTCTCAGAAATTTGAAGGAAACCAGCTGAGATAATGGCTTTTCAGTTTCCTTTTCACACAATTACAGTTTACAACAAAATTTTTTTCATGATGACAACTTGGCTTCCGTTTGGCTGAATGGGCAAAGAGAGTTTCTGACCAAAACAAAACAAAACAAAACCTTTATCTTTTCCAGACAACATTTATAATATAATATAATAGTTAGTAGACAGGGTTTGAGTCACTCTGACTTGGGTTCAAATTCAACACCTACCAAATTTTTAGACTCAGTCTCTCTATTTGTAAAATGAGTACGATCATACCTACCCGTATTGCATTATTTTGAAAATTAAACAAGAAAAGACCTATAAAATGTTTAGCCCAGCATAATGAGCATTTAATAACTGGTGCAATTATTATTACTAGAATGAGAAAGGACTTGAGACTATCTATCCAAACCTTCTCTAGTTCATGATCCTCTCCAACAGCACAGACAAGTGATTGATTGCTTCTCTAATTCTTGAATAGCTCCAGCTGAACCCCAAACCCAGCCAAGGAGCTCTAATTGTTCTTTTGTGTGTTAAACTCTCTCCTTCTCCTATACTTTACCTCCTTTCCTATGGCACAGCTGTTCAGATACTGAAGAACACTCTGGTGTCATCTCCTAAGTGGTCTCCTCTCTGTGATAAAATATCACCAGTTCTTCCCAATCTTTTCTCATCATCCTGGCCGCTCGCTCTTGTATCTCTTCAATTGTGTACGCTGAATCTGAGAAAGATTAAGTCAGGTGAATAAGTTTGAGACAGGCTGGGACCTGGGACCCTTTGCTGCAGTGCTGCAGTGCCTACACCTGGACACACCTCTCCTCAAGCAACAAAATACAAAGAAACTGTATGGGACTAAAAACAACTGCATGACTGGGCAGTTGGGGCAAATTCTGGACAAAAGATACAAAGAGACCAAAAAACCCAACGGCCACTTTTGAAAAGTCTGGAGCAAAAGCGGGGTACTGCACATGCCCCCTGCACACACCACCACCTAAGGGGTGGGCAAAACATCTAAGCCACCCCTCTGGCCTGACCCCTGGACACACCCCTACCCTCATTCCATATAAGGAACGAGCCCAACCCCCTCCGTAGCCAGCAAGCAAGGGAACCTGTTGTTTGTTCTCGCTGCACCCTGCCACAGCAGGTGGCCCAATAAAGCCTTGCCTGAATTTCTTGTCTGGCCTCTGATCAATTTCTATTGATGAAGGAGGCCAAGAATCCTGGTCAGTAACAAGCTGAGTATTTTTTGTGTCCCCCTAAACATGAGAAACTGAAGCAGAGAGTGTAGAAGGGCAGAGCAGGATTCTAGGCCAGAGTTCTTTCTATTAAACAGTGATTTTCTAACCCCAGAGTTGTGCAAGGTAAGCATCTTTATAAAAAACAAAATTCTCAGACTATTTTCTATTCTCAAAAAAGTTTACACCATCCATTGAAAATTTTAATTCAATTATGCCAATGCTTTCTACATTGTGGAAACATTATTTTAGGTTAGCCACGGACAAACTATTTTTATACTTATTTTTTATATTTATAAATACTATTATATATTAGAAAAGATACATAATCACCAGCCCCTAAGCTATTGTTGCTTAGGATGAGACAAGCTTAAAGTGTTAGTGTATTTTAAATCAATTTTTTAAAAAATGTTAAATAACCATAGTAGAGGTGGTACCTCAAAATCACAAAAGTGATACACCGTTGAGTGAAGTTTTGGAAACACCAGTATGGAGTATTGTCATAGCAAATAACTTAAGTGCAAGTATTGCAGAGTTTATTTAGTCGCAATATGGATTTATGAATTCATAAATAAACCAGTTATATTGTATTGATTTAAAAATTCTGTTTCTTTACCCACATCTAAAAGCAAACAGTGTAAAGTGCAAACTGATAATAGAAAAGCTTGTCTAACTACATTAAAGTGTTTATGCTTACATGTAATTTTGAGCATTTGATTTCTCTGAAGGAGCATGGGGGAAGAAATGTCCTTAGTTTTCCAAGTCTTTGATTCCAAAAACCAGTCTTCAAAGCTCCAGCAGATATATTAATCATTAAAAATGTCTATGTTACTGAAATGTGAAATCTGTTAAAGAAATTAAATTATTAGATTTTATATGTTATTATCATAACATTCTGAAGAACTAAATTTCGGAGGAAGAAGAGCTTTAGGCAAATGATGGAGGGCATCTTTTCACTGCTGTGTGAATTAGAACAAGTCAGACATCCTCAATTATTCTATACTATTTTTCATGGGATAATTTGGTGTCATTTATAAAAGTGTACATTGGAAACAAGAAACCAGTATTCCAGTTTATTATTCAATAAATATATATGAATGCCTATGACATGCTAAACATTGTGTTGAGGACACAGGTGTTAACAAGATAGTTAAGGTCCTTAAATTCATGGATGAATATTCTAGTATTTGAAGACTGTCAATAGATATGTAAATTAATAAGTGAATTAGGTCATTTCAGATAGTGATAAACTCCTAGAAGGAAATAGAAAGAGGTGATGTAGCAGAGCGTGTCATTTCCTCTTTGTCATAACTGTGTGACATTGAGGAAGTTCTTTAATTACTCTGGGACCCAGTTTCCTATTCAGTAAAATGTGGAGAATGATATGGGGGAGGGGTAACCAGATGATCATGTGAGGCTCCTTCTGAATCTAAGATCTTTGTTTCTCCCTCTGACTCTTTCAGGAACTGCAGGCAAGCAGCAAAGGAGAGAAGAGGTGGGAACAGACAGAAAGCAGCAGCATTAAGGGAAGATGGAATCAGAAGAGAAAAGGTGTATCTTTGCATGCTTGTCTGACAGCCAACAGAACAAAACTGAGTTAGAAATACTCATACACGTATGTATGCATGTATAGTATGTATGTAGGTGACAACCTTAGCATTGTAACCAATTGTTTTCTTTTACAACCTATCCTTAGAAAATGACCTAAAAAATGGTGATCAGTTTTTGTTTGTTTGTTTGTTTTAAGATTTAAAAGGAAACTTTCCAGGAAAAATTTCCTGCTGCAAATGACTAATTGGATACTCTATTTAAGCACACAAGTTTGTTGCCATTAAGTGATGCTTAACAGATTTTTCCCTTTGCAGAGATTTACATGACATGGTATTAAATTCTCTGGAATGTTTCCACTGTGTGCTGAAGTAGTTAGTTATTTTCTTTTTCTCCTCCAGGTGCAAAATGAGTTGATAACAAACAGAAGCTGACTTGTCATTGCTGTGTTCCTACTTGAGCTTGGAAAAATACCAACACAAAACAAATACCATCACCACCATCACCTCCAGCTCCATCATCATGTGTTATTTTCTTTCTCCAGGATTGCTTTCTGAAGCACTTTAGATATGTTATACATAAATATTGACATATTTTTCAGAAATTGTTCCTTCATTTTTTTTTGCTAATCATTGATGCTGCACTATTTGTCAAATTCTTCCTTTTCATTTTAATTTATTTCTCTCTATAACCAAAAGTGTGATCTTGAATTTGAGTAAATTTTAAGTGATTCATTTTTAGTTTTTCTAGTTCTGGAATACAAGCTTTCTCTTACAATAAGGAGGCTTTTAAATATATTTTCTCGCTTGCTTTTCAAATTCCATTGTATTTTTTTATTCCTTTGTTTCTTTTTCAAATTCTATTGGTCTTGATTCAATTTAGTTCCACAAATACATATATATAGATAGTCTACTACATACCAACTACTGATTCAAATGTTAGAGTTATAAAAATGAGAAGGCTAGGGCTTCCCTGGTGGCGCAGTGGTTGGGAGTCTGCCTGCCAATGCAGGGGACACGGGTTCGTGCCCTGGTCCGGGGGGATCCCACATGCCGCGGAGCGGCTGGGCCCGTGGGCCATGGTCGCTGGGCCTGCGCGTGCGGAGCCTGTGCTCCGCGGCGGGAGAGGCCACGACAGTGAGAGGCCCGCGTATCACAAAAAAAAAAAAAAAAAAAAAAAAAAAAATGAGAAGGCTAGTATTGTTGCCATCTTGCTAGTAACTCTTTGTTTAGTTCTTTACAATTAATAAAGTGGCCTCACCTATGTTTCTCAGCTAATAATCACATTAAATATGTATGACAGGTAGGATTCATTTTATGGATCAGGAAACTAGAGTCCAAAGAAAGTGGCCCTAAATGAATCCATAGTCCAACAAACTCTTCCACTAGCTTATGATTTGTTTGAGAAGTTGTAATAGTTTTTAGGATGAAAAAGCACATCCTCCTTAAGAACAAGAGAGTTTTACGTTTTCTTATAGTGCTTTATAGATCCACTTAGAAGTAAGCTTTGTACATTTCATACACGAAGCACACGGGGATAATTTTGCTAATGAGGCTGGATGGGAAGAGGAATCTGAGTTTAATTCTTTGGCATCGACTTCAAACTAAAACGACCTATGGCCAATAAAAAATCAAATTTGAAACTCTTTTTGAAGTATTTGGCTCATTTAAAAATCTTTTCTATGTTTAAATCTATACTTAAAATAACCTTTAGTATCTTAAAAAAAAGAATTGCCAAATTTATGACAATCTTATGTATGATATCTTCTTAGAGAGCAAGACATCAATCTTTTTAAGTTGTTTCTTTTTCTTGATTTCTAATAAATTGTAAAATAAAAATAATTTCACAAATTGCTATTTCTTATTATTATCTTCTCTGCACTCCCCAACCCCCAGAATTTGAGGAATGATAATTTTCACGTACCATCTCCCAGATTTTGTATTGCTGAGAAAGTAAAAATAATGTAAATGAGCATAATTACCTCAGACCTAAATGCATAATTGTAGAATATACTATATATATCATGGTATTAAAAAAACAACATGCTGCTTAAGGAGGAACCAAAGAGAACATTCTGATATTCTCCTCAAGCTAACTGAGGAATGAGTTTCCCTGGAATTTAAAAATCCTTTTTTTCTCAAAAGTAGTGATGGGATTCAGGACACGCTACTCCAAAATATGGCACCTTGGCATAGTGAATATTTTAAGTTGGAGGAGTTTGAGAAAACAGAAGCCGGAGGCTCACTGTGACCTTCCCACTGTCCTTCTCCCCAGAAACAGGCTATAAAACCCTCATGTGAAAGGTGTCCTCCCTATACCTGGAGGAAAGGAGCATCTTTGTCTCTGAAGACAAAGGGACTGAGAAGAATCCAAACAAAGAGGCCTTGCTAGGTTTCCCCCAGTTTACTATACTTACCTTACACTCCTTAACCTGTCATATTCCTCCACAGCTGTCCATACTTCATAAATGCTAGCACAAATACACTCAGATCTGTTTCTTCGGATCTTCATTTCCTTATGAAGATTCCTGTGTCATGTAAAACTTATATTAAATACATTGCATACTTATTTCCTATTAATCTGTCTCTGTCAGTTTAATTTTTAGACCCAACCAGGAACCCTAAGAGGTGAGAATAACTTTCCTCCGCCACAGTACAGTTACAGTAGCAAAGGTATAACATGGCTTTGTATGAATCAAAGCAGTGGAACAATAAGAACTTTACAAAAATTACTTGGAGATGGTTGAACATCTCTTAAAGAATTATAGGAGAATATCTTCTCTCTCTTCTTTATGTTTTAGAGGCTAGCACTTGCCAAGGCATTGCAGTAAATGGGTGGTTTCCCATTACATTTCCCCTGCAGAGTAAATTCTGTGGATGTGTTTCCCTAATCGTGCTAATTACATTACCAGATGTTGCTCTCACTTTCTTCTTTGCCCTAATGGGACATAGATTTCCTATTTTGAAATTGTCACTTATTTGTTATATTTGTCCAGTGTTTTAAACATTATGTGGGTCCTTTATTTGCTTTTGAACACTCAACAGCCTAAAGATTAAAATTTGACATGAAGGCCAATTATGACTAAGATAGGAATTATATTACTCATTACACTACTACTAACCATGCTATACTAGTATAGTTACCCTGGACTTCTGTATGATACTAACCTTGAGCTATCCATTTTCATTGTCAGTATAAATAAAGGTTTCATAGGAAGTAGTTTATTGGAACTGGTTGATATCTAAATGAAATTAAAAAAAATAATTTTTCATAATATGGGCAGAAAAGTATTAAAAATTAGACATTATCATCATAAACCACCAAAAGCTGTACTGGTATAAAATAATTTAATGAAATATTTTGAGAAAAATACAATTGTCAAAGTCAATACATTTTTACTTAAATCATAAAAATCTTTTTTTCATTGTGTAATGTGGAGTCAAAATTTTTTTCTATTGAGGTATATATGTGTGTGTGGAGCCTCTATATGTATGTATATAAAATACGTATGTGTACAAATATATATGTACATATATATAATGTAACCACACTGAAATAAAAAAGGAAACTTTTTTTAAAGAGCGAGAAGAGATTTAACCCATTTGCTATTAAGCACAGAGAATTAAAACTTTTTAAAATAAATACTTCCCTAAGTTATCATTTCCACGTTATTTTCTATTAAGGGAAAGCTAGGTGGGAAAGCTAGAACAAACTAGACGAAAGGAAGAAAGGGAGGCTACCTCAATGGAAAGGTGAAGGGCTGTGGTGCCAGGGGAGATGGAAAGAGAAAGGAGCCAGAAGGAGAGAGCCCCAGGAAAAGGCGAGGCCAGCTCCTTCTCTCTCCCCATCCCTGGCCACACAACTTGCTCTTAGTAAGTTCCTGCCCACAGCTGCCAAGTCATCTCCATCTGAATGTGTCTTTTGCACCAGGGTTATTTCTAGCAGCCCTCTTGTCTCTGGTGGCTTGGAAGATTATGGTTTCAATGTTGACCCACTTGGCTTCTAGATGGCATCTGACTTACCACATATAGTGGATGCATCTGCTCTTCTCACACAGTTTCCACATTATCAAAGTTCCTCTCCGTTTTTGTTTCTGCCAAAGAAAGGCTTTTTTATTTTGCTAATAAGGACTCTGTGAAATGCTGGGGTTTGCTGGGGTGTGTGCCTGCAGTTTTTGTTGTTGTTGTTTTATTTATTTTTTTGAGAAACTGCTATTGTTGCTTCTAAGTGCACCTGGATGGTCTAATCATGTGTTTTAACATGTCATCCAGGAAGTCTAGAAGTTATTGTTATTTTATCTTTATGCTAATATTTTTCTTTTTAATATTTGCATTTAAAAAATTTCCCTAAAATCGAATGTCTATATGATATATATCAATATAGCTATCTCTCTCTATATATATATCATATATATTGACATGTATTTCAATATATCTATATGTAGTTTTGTCTTTCTAAAGCAAGGACATAAATGCTGAAGTCAATGATATGATCTCTGTTATAAAACAGCTGGACTACTCTTTACATGGAACAACCTCCCCATTACATGGACTTCTAGGATATTGCTACTGAAGTCAAAACCGTGCAACTATAAGCATGAGTTAATTTTAAAGGAAGAAGGTGGAGCTCCTGGTAGATTCTTATTTTTATAGTTCATACTGTTTCAGTTTTTTCAATGTGTCAGTCAATATTCTCAGCACCTTACATGGGCCATTTCATTTAATCGTTCTAATAATCCTATAAAATAGGTACTCTTACTATCTCCATTTCATAGGTGAGAAAATTGAGGCTTGTCCAAGATCACAGAAACCATTACCGACAAAGTCTGAAACTGAACTAAGGGCCAAATTCAGTCCTTGGGTGAGATATTTCTTGCCTCAGGTCTTCCACAGAAGAACTCAACGAGAAATAACAGCATCTGGATAAATATAAAATATAAATATAAAATATAAAATAATATTGTGAACTTATGTTAACTGAGAACCAACAATGTGTCAAGTACTGTCTAGATCCTTTAAATATTCTTCATTATTATTTTATCACTCCATCAGTCTTTGTGGTGAGAGGTTAGGTTAAGCTTAACAACTACCAACTACCAAGGACAATTGAGGTCACTGTTTCTCCAAAGCTTGTATGGTCCCCATTATTAATCATCAAGGCTATAGGAAATCAACCAGGAAATGTGAGCTTTTCTCCTTAGCAAAGTTGGTAAGATTAGTTACAGTTAATATATCTCTGCACCAGCAGACCCACCTCCCAAGGGTAGACATGAGACAGATGGGGAGACAATGTTTTTCTCGTATAATTCAGGTTTGCTTTTAGCATGCTATTAAGAATTAATTAAGAATTGATGCACTCCCCATTTGTCTGCTCTGAGGAAAAACATAAATGGTTTCTTGGAATTATGTAGACCTGAAGTGCTTGAAAAGTGAGTCTCATTTTGATTGAATTAACTAGAGATGTTCTCTGAAAGGATTAACTCAATCATATATCAAACATTTAGGACAAACAAGAATAGGCTTTTCCTTCCTGCCTTCAGTTATTTATTCATATTCATTTACTCAACAAATATTTACTGAATACCTACTATATGTAAGGCTAAGTGCTTCTTTACCTTAAAATCTGGCAGCAAACATATGACACGGGGAGCTGCAAGTTTCCAGCATGGAGGGGTATGAGATGCGTTCGTCCAGAAAAGAGGATCTGAGAGTTCTGACCAGAATGATGTGAAGAGGCTTTCTGGGAGAGCTGGCATGTGCTCAGGTCCTTGGAGGAAGGGGGGACAGTGACAGGTAAAGGTGGCAAAGGGAGCCGCGAGATCCACGCAGAGGAGGCGTCCTGTGCAGAGGCATAGCAGAGATCCAGGAGTAGTGAGCGGTGTAGCGAAAGCTATGGCAAGAAAGATAGCTGGGGTTAGACTGTGAAGGGCTTTGAGTATTAGGCTAAAGGGTTCAAACCTTACTCACATGTAGGCCTGTGGTTCTCAAAGTGAGATCTCCAGTCCAATAGCATCAGCATCGCTTCAGGCTCTACCCTGGACTTATCGCATCAGAATCTCTGAGAGGTGGGGCTTAGCATCTGCAGTTTAACAGACCCTCCAAGTGATGTTGATGCCTGCTACAGGTTGAGAACCAGTGCTGTAGTCAGCCTTGCTAAACTGCTCTGTGGGCCGTGAATGGGGGACAGGGGTACTGGAAGTCATCATCTCCCTTATCCTCAGGGTAGCTACACAGGCCCTGGAGAAGCTAGAGCTCCTAGCGATGACAGCCACTTACACTAGCAACCTCTCTCTTTCACGCTAGGGTACAAACTCCTTGATCTGAAAAGGAAGCAGGTGTCGGCCCAGGGGCCAAATCTGCCAGATGGCCTGTTTTTGTGTGCCACTCCCGTCCCCCAAGTTAAGAATGGCTTTTACATTGTTTTTATGTTTGGCTTTTACATTTTTAAAGAGTTGTAAAAAAAAAAGAAAAGGAAGAGAAGAAAGAAGAAGAAAATGAAGAGGAAGAAGGAGGTGGACGAAAAGGAGAGGAGACAGTGTGATGGAATGTGGCCTGCAAAACCTAAAGTATCTACTTCCTGATTCTTTATAGAAAAGGTTTACTGACCCCTGGTGTAGACAGGGAGAAACTGTTTTTGAGAAGAAAAGTGATAGGTCCAAAGAATGAATTAAGGATATTTAATATAATAACAGTATGCAGAAAAGAAAAATTGAAAAGAGCTAGAAGCAGAGAAGCCAAATGTGGAACACAAGTGAGATCGTAAAGATCTAAACCATGCAATGCTGTTTGAGCAGAAAAAAGGAAATGGGTCTTTAATACTTATAGAAACAATATAACTTAACTTTCAGTTGACCCAAGTGCTATGCCATAGCAAGGTTCTCAACAACTGGAGAAATCATAGACTGTGTCCAGTTCAGCAATTTCTTGGGGTTGGGTTTGGTTTAGTTTTGAGGGAGTAGGACGGTGTTGAGAGCATGAACTCTGGAGCTCTTGTCTAGTGTAGAGGAAAAAACCTAATCTCTAAGTGCTTAGTGGGTGTTTCAGATTATCTCCACAATATTTAATTATTGCATAGAACAGTGATATGTATAGAAATCAACCAGTTATCTTCTTAAAAGGCCAACTCCAGTTCAAAATTCTGGATGGGATCTGAGATTCTTCATTTCTAAGATGTTCCCAAGTAGGGACCACACTTTCAGTAGCAAAGTTCTAGACTGAACACCGGTGGTTATTTGAAAAGCAAACTTTTAAGGTCACATATTAAGCATGGGAAATAATTCCTCCATCCACAGAAATCAAAGGCACCTTTTCTGCCGTAATACATGATTTAATTGGTTACCAAAGCACACCTGCCCCTGCAGTTGGTCACTGGAAATTCTGTCCTCTCAGAGTGGTAGTTTTTAGGGACAAGTGCCTGGATAGAGAATAAAGCGTAGGATAGAATAAAGGTTAGAAAAGGAAGAAGATGGATACAGTGGGTGGAGAAGACAGGACCGATCCTCCCATAGTGGCCAGGGACAGTCTATCTAGTGGTTTGGGGAGCCACACTCTGACTTTGAATCCAGGGTCCTCAACTTAATAGCTGTGTGATCTTACACAAATTATTTACCTTCTTCTGCCATGGTTTCTCATCCATAGATGGGGATAACAAATCCTCAAAGAGCAGTTAGTTACAGGGAGTAAAAGAGATAATGTCAGAAAATAATGTAATGCAGTAGTAAGACTGTAATAAGAACTAAATAATTGAATCTTTAATTATCAGAGATAAAAGGGTATCAGCTTGAGATGCAAAGGAAGCTCTCCAACCATCACAACTGGTTAGGAAATAACCTAGAAATTTATTAATGTTACTAAAGGACAAATAGCCCCCAAAAGAGCTTTAAATATACATGTTGGTCCATACATGGGATTTGTATCTTAAGTATTTGGAATTCCCTCCAAAGAAATTGCATGTATGTAACGTGGGATATCATTAGGTGTTTGTTTCTTGACTCTAAAATGTATGTTTTCATTGTAGTTTAAGGCTTGTACTAAAGGATGGATAAACTTTGTGATATTTAGGAAAGCAATTAAACAGAAGATACAAGGCTTAACATAGCTTCCAAAGGAAACATGTGTTTTATACCTACATTAAACAAAATTAAATTATTTTCAAAATTAAAATGTGGCTTTTGAAAGCTTTTTGATATTAGGTGAAAACTTATCATGGAATCACATTTAAAGTAAAAAGTTCAGTTAAGTGTCATGTATCTGCTGACTAGATAAATTTCTACATTTTCATCAAATGCTTTAGCATCAGAGACACAGCCTGAGAGGTGACACATATTGTGCCGATTACTCTTAATTCAGTTAATTAAAACTCTCTAGGTCTTCACCTTGACTTGACACTCTTTGCTTCTTTATTATTCTCTGGTATTACCTTATTCACATTGTCCTTCTTCACAGAGCTGTCCTTTCCACTGTGCTTCTGTCCCATCCTACACAGATGTAGTAGAAAGAAAAAGAGGTCTTTGGTATCAGCGTTCTAGGACCAATTCCAGTCTGGAATCTGCTGCTTGAGACCCACATGGCTTTAGACAAGGCTCTTTCTCTGAGACTTCGTTTCCTTACTCATATTGATACCCACTTTGCTGGATTATTGAGGATTAGGGATAATATTTGTTAAGTGTTTACCAGGAGCCTGTACATAGAAAATAGGCAATGAATATGAGCTTTTGTTTATTATTTGTTACTGAAACATCAACTCATGTGCCACCCATTCCAAGAAGTCTTCTTGGAAGCCCTGAAGATGGAGGCAGGTTTTACCTCCTTTAATACCCGGAGGTGCATTTTACTTGCACGTGGTTACTTTCACATGTGGCATTTTAGTTATTCATGTGTATAGATTATCTCCTTTATAAAATAGGAAATTTCTAGAGGAAAGATTCAGGTTTCCAGAATCCTATATGTGCCATGCATGTAGCCAGGAGTATGCAAATAATAGGTGCAATAATAAATGCTCAGTGAACATTTCTTTCATAGAGCAAAAATCACTTTCTGATTGAACTCATATCAACTTTCAAGATGGTGTACTTCTGGTTTTCCCTGATTTTGCCAACTTTTCAATGCCCCACCAAATTGAATTACATCAGGCACCAAATGGTTCATGACATTTTCCCTCAAGTATGATTTATTTAACAATCATATACAATAGGAAATACAGAGAATTACAGCAGAATAAAAACACAAGAATTATAGCTTGTCATGTTAAAAATTAAATAAAAGAGATACCAGCTAAATAAAGAGGCATATGAAATTGTTAGATATATGTTGAGTAGCTGAGGATACAAATGCAAAGCAGGCCATTTAAGGCTCAGCAGCTGAATTCATCCATCCCTCTCTTTAGGATGGATTCAACATTGATGCTGGCAGAAGGGATGGGCACTGGTACCCTCTGCTCTGACTTCCCGCTAATTAACATGAGTTAGTGCCTGTCTTAGAGAGAGGAAGGAAGGAATAAGGAAGATACAAAGGAGAGCAGGAGAGAAGGGAGGGGAAGGAGCAAAAGAGGGAGTGAGGGAGGGAGATTAGGGGGAAAAAAGTGCATCAATAGCGTGACAACTCTTCTGAAGAGATGGAGCGAGTTTTCTCCACTCCCCTGGAAGTTCCGTCACAGCGCTTTATAAATTACATAACCTGGAAAATTAGGTTAAACCCCATATACAGAAAATAATGACTTCATTATATTCCTCTTTTTTTTTAGTAATAGTCTATATATCTTAAAGTATTAATAGGAACAAAGTGGACATGTTTCTTATGACAATTAAGAAGCAGTGTTTCAATTTATTTCTCTGTTGAGAGACTCTATAGCTTTACTGAGAGACACCTGGCTCAAATAGGAACAATAGTAATTAGACTTCCCTGACAGTCATATTCTAATCTTAAATGCAGAATATTTTCTAGCTTGTAAATAGCTACCTTAAAAAAGACATTAAAAGCAGTAGTTGCAGTTTCTCCATAAATACAAATAAGAAATCCATTGTAGGACAAAAAGTCACCATGATGTACGTATCTATAAATTTCCCCCAACACATCATTATAGATCAATCTTTACTGCTTACATTTAAAATATCAGTTGCATTATAATGTCTATGATACAATTCAATTATTTAGCTGTGCTCTACATATGCTTCAGATGAAACAAAATCTAAGGAACTTATTCACAGAACATTTAAAAGCATCTTATACACTGTCTATGCACAAATATATCTTAAATTAAAATGCATACCTAATATGCATATAGAATATGGCTTACACATGAAAAGAGATCTAAGTTGTGAGTTATAAAATCCCACTACTTAGACTTAAAAGCTTGTGATTGCATCCATTTCTAAAATATTGCTTAGCATTGTGGAACCCAGGGAAGAAGCATGTGCAACAGAAACCTCATTAGGATGGACAACCCACCTTCACTTTATTCTTTAATTGATGGCTACTCTTAATTTTTTCCACCCAATTCTACCATTCACAAAGACATATTCGCTTAGTCTCACAATCATTGAAGAGTTTGTACAGTGAAAAGTTACAACACCTACTTGTGCTTGACCTTTCTTGTCAGCTAATAACAAATAAATGTAGCTCTTCAGTTTGGAGCAAAGGCAAGGCTCTGCACATGCTCAGGCAAAACATGACAAGGAAGCAGAGTCTCCAAGGGTTGCAGTTTGTTTCTGTGTGGTAAAATTATAAACTCACGTCAAATAACATTATCTGTACAGAAAAGTGTGGGATTCCATTTTCATAGACATTTTTGAATACACACACAGACACGCACACACACACACTTCTTGTCACTTATCCCTTGGCCTGTGATATATTTTGTTACATCCTGATGGGATCAACACCCCAGAAGGCAGATTCCATTCTCAGTTCTAGTGTCTGTCTCCAACAATGGCTGGAGGTTCTTGTCATCTTGGATCGTAGGTAATGTGTGACTTGCATTGTGATGATGCCCATGTAGGTGATGCATTAGTGCTTTGAAATCACAGGGATGGAGGCAGGCTGGTCCACTGCTTTCAGGGGCAGGTTTCATTGTGGTTTCCCAGCTTGAGAGCTACAATGAAGAGTTCATCAGGTCACAGAGCCAGGGCTCTGATGCTCCATTGTTGTTATAGGGCTTCAACCACAGCTTCTGAGCAGCCCCGGCTCTCACTTTGTTCCCATGTATTTAAAATAACAAGGACAATCTAAATAGCCTCAGAGCTGCAAAAAATATTTTTCTATAATTTTGTTTTTGCTTTCCTTTTACTTAACATCTTGAAAAATTTACTGTAGTTACAGCACTCTGTATAAAACAAAGCAAGAAAGTCAAATCTTAAAATGTCTCATCTTCTGCACACATATTGCACAGTTGCCTATGCAGTAACTGGGTTCAAACTGATGAAAAATTAAAACTGTCCAACTTTTTGTCTTAAAAATTTCTCTGGCTTGATTGAAGAAGGCCAAATTGTGGAGGAAGAGCAATGGCAGAAGCACTGGCCAAAATCTCTGGTAGCAACTTTGAGTGTATTTATTTGGCTAGAATTACTAGTTCAGAATTTATGTTCTTCTCTTATATGAGTCCATAAAATGGCCTGTTTCCAAGTGTGTGTTGAAAGAGGAGAATATAGGTTTGTGGAAAATTGAGGATTTAGGATATTTTAGTGCTGTTCTCATTATCCTGAAATAAAATCCAAATGAAAATGAAGATCATGTTTTAGTCATATATAGGCATCAATCACTGAATGGCAATTTCATGTTGGACTTCATATAGCTTGTAAAAGTAAGAGATTTATCAGCAGATAATAGATATTCTTTAAATCATTTGGAATTCTTCCTGTCTCTTCTGTGTGTGCGTGCGTGCATGCATGCGTGCATGTGTGTATTTATGTATCTTTAAAGTTTGGATGGAGGGTATGCAGAAAAATTGCTGTAGCTAATATGAGACAATATCTTTAAATTGTTTAATACAGAGCTGGTTTTTAAAATTTCCATCAACTTTGTGGCTTGATTTCTATTTACAATTCCTATGTAAAATAGTAATCACAGTCACTAGCTCTGGAATTGTTGATTGGACTAAATGAGATAATACATATGAGATGTTCATCACAGTGCCTGACACTGATAGTTGCTATTAATTAAACTATTATTATTAATTAAAGAGTCTTACAACTAACTCAAGAATACTGAGAAATGAATCATCTTAAAAGCTAATCACAAAAAAAAAAAGCTAATCACATTTTAACTGTGTCATATCTAAAACAACATTTAAGGAGCTACTGATAGTATATCAAAGGCTTGACGTGGTACCTGCAGCATTTTCTCTTGTCCCTACCATCAAGGTACAAGATAGCAGGACTCATTTTTATATTTTTTTTAAGGAGATACTAAGACATTTCTACTATAACAAACACATTCCTCCCTTCTAACTCCCTTCTAACTGCCTTCACCTTCTCTGTTGGTCCAAGACGGTAGTTCTCAAATTTAGTGTACAGAAATAGCAGTAGAGTGAATTATTAAAAATTCAGATTCCTAAGGCATCACTCCCAGAGTTGGTAATTTGGTAGATCAAAGGTGAGCCCCAGAAGCTGATTTTTTTTTTTAAACATCTTTATTGGAGTATAATTGCTTTACAATGGTGTATTAGCTTCTGCTGTATAACAAAGTGAATCAGCTATACATATACATATATCCCCATATCTCCTCCCTCTTGGGTCTCCCTCCCACCCTCCCTATCCCACCCCTCTAGGTGGGCACAAAGCACCGAGCTGATCTCCCTGTGCTATGCAGCTGCTTCCCACTAGCTATCTATTTTACATTTGGTAGTGTATGTATGTCCATGCCTCTCTCTCACTTCATCCCAGCTTACCCTTCCCCCTCCCTGTATCCTCAAGTCCATTCTCTAGTAGGTCTGTGTCTTTATTCCCGTCTTGCCCCTAGGTTCTTCATGACCATTTTTTTTTTTTAAGATTCCATAGATATGTGTTAGCATACGGTATTTGTTTTTCTCTTTCTGACTT